CCCTGGGGGGGCAGCGGGGCCGGGGGGCGGCGTGGGGGGGGCTCCTCCATCCGCATCAGCTCCTCACAGCACTGCTTCCACTGCGCTGGGGGGGGGACAGTGGGGCATGGCACAGACACCCCAAAATCTGGGGTGGGGGCATGGCACTGACCCCCCAAAAATCCGGGATGGGGGCAAGGCACAGACCCCTCAAAAATCCGGGATGGGGGCAAGGCACTGACCCCCCAAAAATCCGGGATGGGGGCACGGCACCGACCCCCCAAAAATCCGGGATGGGGACAATGGGGATGTGGCACAGAGCCCCCCAAATATCCGGGATGGGGACAGCGGGGCATGGCACAGAGCCCCCAAAATCCCGGGGTGGGGACAAGGCACAGAGCACTCCAAAATCCCGGGATGGGGACAATAGGGACGTGGCACAGAGCCCCCAAAATCCCAGGGTGGGGACAGCGGGGATGTGGGACAGCAACTCCCAAAATCCTCTGCCTGACCACATCCCATTTCCATCTTTGTCCCCGTTCCAGTTCTCATCCTTGTCCTTGTCCCCATTTCTCTGGGGTCCTGCTGGGCTGGGGGGTCCCACAGGGATGTGCAGGATCCCATAGGGATGTGTGGGGTCCCACAGGGATGTGCAGGGTCCCACAGGGATGTGTGGGGTCCCACAGAGCTGGGAGGGTCCCACAGGGATGTGTGGGGTCCCACAGGGATGTGCAGGGTCCCACAGGGATTTGTAGGGTCCCACAGGGCTGGGAGGGTCCCACAGGGATTTGTAGGGTCCCACAGGGATGTTTAGGGTCCCGCAGGGATGTGCAGGGTCCCACGGGGATGTGCAGGGTCCCACAGGGCTGGGAGGATCCCACAGAGCTGGGAGGGTCCCACAGGGATGGGAAGGGTCCCACAGAGCTGGGAGGGTCCCACAGGGATGTGTAGGGTCCCACAGGGCTCAGAGGGTCCCACAGGGATGTGCAGGGTCTCGCAGGGATGTGCAGGGTCTCGCAGGGATGTGCAGGGTCCCACAGGGCTGGGAGGGTCCCACAGGGATGAAGGACATTCCCACAAGGATGAAGGGCACTCCCGCAGGTCTGGGGGTCCCAGGGGTCCCAGGGGTCCCGGCTCACCCAAGTCGTAGAGGTGCTGCCCGAAGGCTCGCAGCCAGCGCTGGGCCTCGGCGGCGCTCTCGGCCAGCAGCGCGTGGGTCACCTCCTCCCCGCCCAGCCGGTTGGTGACCGCCACCCCGGGGGGCTGCCCGCGGCCCCCCGCCTCCAGCGCCCGCACCCGCGTGTCCTGTGGCACCCGCGGGNCAAAAATCCGGGATGGGGGCACAGCACAGAGCACCCCAAAAATCCGGGATGGGGACAATGGGGATGTGGCACAGAGCCCCCCAAAAATCCGGGATGGGGACAGCGGGGCATGGCACAGAGCCCCCAAAAATCCGGGATGGGGACAGCGGGGCATGGCACAGAGCCCCCAAAATCCCGGGGTGGGGACAAGGCACAGAGCACCCCAAAATCCCGGGATGGGGACAATGGGGACGTGGCACAGAGCCCCCAAAATCCCAGGGTGGGGACACCGGGGATGTGGGACAGCGACTCCCAAAATCCTCTGCCTGACCACATCCCATTTCCATCTTTGTCCCCGTTCCAGTTCTCATCCTTGTCCTTGTCCCCATTTCTCTGGGGTCCTGCTGGGCTGGGAGGGTCCCACAGGGATGTGCAGGATCCCATAGGGATGTGTGGGGTCCCACAGAGCTGGGAGGGTCCCACAGGGATGTGCAGGGTCCCACAGGGATGGGAAGGGTCCCACAGGGATGTGCAGGGTCCTGCAGGGATGTGTGGGGTCCCACAGGGATTTGTAGGGTCCCACAGGGATGTTTAGGGTCCCACAGGGCTGGGAGGGTCCCACAGGGATGTGCAGGGTCCCACAGGGATGTGCAGGGTCCCACAGAGATGTGCAGGGTCCCACAGGGCTGCAAGGGTCCCACAGGGCTGGGAGGGTCCCACAGGGATTTGTAGGGTCCCACAGGGCTGGGAGGGTCCCACAGGGATTTGTAGGGTCCCACAGGGATGGGAAGGGTCCCACAGGGATGTGCAGGGTCCCACAGGGATGTGCAGGGTCCCACAGGGATGTGCAGGGTCCCACAGGGCTGGGAGGGTCCCACAGGGATGTGCAGGGTCCCACAGGGATGTGCAGGATCCCACAGGGATGGGAAGGGTCCCACAGGGCTGGGAGGGTCCCACAGGGATGAAGGACATTCCCACAAGGTTGAAGGGCACTCCCGCAGGTCTGGGGGTCCCAGGGGTCCCAGGGGTCCCGGCTCACCCAAGTCGTAGAGGTGCTGCCCGAAGGCTCGCAGCCAGCGCTGGGCCTCGGCGGCGCTCTCGGCCAGCAGCGCGTGGGTCACCTCCTCCCCGCCCAGCCGGTTGGTGACCGCCACCCCGGGGGGCTGCCCGCGGCCCCCCGCCTCCAGCGCCCGCACCCGCGTGTCCTG